GACTGGAAAAGGTCAGTCTACATCCCAATCCCAAAGAAGGGCAGTGCCAAAGAATGCTCCAACTACCATAAAATTGCACTCATTTCACACGCTAGGAAAGTTATGCTCAAAATCCTCCAAGGTAGGCTTCAGCAATATGTGGAGAACTCCCAGAAGTACAAGCTGGATTGCGAAGGGGCAGAGGAGGCAGAGACGAAATTGCTAACATGCTCTGGATTATGGACAAAGGCAGAGAGTTCCAGAAAAACATCTACTTCTGCTTCATTGACTACACAAAAGCCTTTGACTGTGTGGACCACAACAAACTATGGCAAGTGCCTGACCACCTTATCTACCTCCTGAGAAACGTATATGTGGAACAGGAAGCAACAGTTAGAACTGGATATGGAAACACTGATTGGTTCAAAATTGGGTAAGGAGAATGACAAGGCTGTATATTGTCCCCCTGCTTATTTAACTTATATGTGGAATACATCATGCGAAAGTCTGGGCTGGAGGAATCCCAAACTGGAATTAAGATTGCTGGAAGAAATATCAATAACCTCAGATGTGCAGACAATACCACTCTGATGGCAGAAAGTGAGGAGGAATTAAAGAATCTCTTAATGAAGGGAAAAGAGGAGAAAAAAAAATGGTCTGAAGCTCAACATAAAAAAAGCTAAGATCATGGCCACTGGTCCCATCACCTCCTGGCAAATAGAAGGGGAAGGTATGGAGGCAGTGACAAATTTTACTTTCTTGGGCTCCATGATCACTGCAGATGGAGACAGCAGCCACAAAATTAAAAGACGCCTCCTTCTCGGGAGGAAAGCGATGACAAACCTAGACAGCATCTTAGAAAGCAGATAAATTTCATGTCAGATTTTGTACCCTCAATTCTATTCTATTGATTGATTCATTCATTCATTCATTCATTCATTTTTTCATTCATTCATTCATTCATTCATTCATTTTCCATAATACCTCACTTAGTGACACAACTACTGTGATGATATATCCTTGAAACTTTTGTTCATAAACTTATAGTTTCAATATGTTCCTAAAAATTGTAAAGCACAGAGCCTTTGGTAACCCAGATGGAAATTTATTGCACAGAACAGGAGGGCCAACACTGAGAAGGCCCGATTTCTTCCTGTCACCATTTTAACTTCACTTTGTCATCACACTCATTGCTGTGGTTTGGGAGGAGCATGTAAATTGCAAGCTGTATTCTGGGGGGATATGTTGTCACAACTACTGAGGTCCTAAATCTTTTTGGGGCTTTATAGGTCAGCACCATAGGAAATCCTCATCCTCATCTTCTTCTTTGAATTGCAGAGCTTTAAGGCACCCTGTATATCATCAAGCAAGCCCTTGTTAAAGAGGCGCATTAGAGAATTGAACACCTCACCTCTGGTCTGTTCTTTGCACCAGAGGGCAAAAAGTGTAAGCAGAGAAAATGGATCTTTATCTTTTCTGGACTAAGTATGAAACTGGCCCCTGTCCAGTACATTATCATGGCTGGGCAATGCTCAAGGACTCAAACTGCATTTTCAGTGAATGAAGCAAAGGAGAGAGAGTCCTGCCTCTCATAATTATAATGGTGGCAACACACCATAAAACTCCCAATGACTTCACATAGTGGTTTCATAACCTAGTAAGAACTAGTGAGAGTGAGCAACCCTAGATCTAGTACATCATCTCAATGAGAAATATGTTTGTATGCTAGGAAAGTTTTTTTTCCCATTTCATTCTTTTTTCCACCTTCTGAGCTTGGTGTTCAATTCAGGCCTCAAGAGAATAATGTAAATCTTGGGAGCAAAGATGCAAATCAAGAGACCCGCACTGGAGGCTAGAATAGAGAAGACCTCCACAGCGACCATTTGTTTCCCCTTGGTGCTCAAATAGGTGGGAACAAAGGACACCCAAACACTGCAGAAGACCACCATGCTGAAGGTGATGAACTTGGCCTCATTAAAACTGTCTGGAAGTTTCCTGGCTAGGAAGGCCAACGTGAAGCACACGAGGGACAAAAAGCCCATATAGCTCAGGACAAGGTAAAACATGATAATAGAGCCTCCTTTACATAATTGGATAATCTCTTCAGTCAACGATTGCATGTCAAATGCTGGAAATGGGGGAGATGTTCCTAACCACAGTGCACAAATTCCTGCTTGAACCAAGGAGCAGGAGAGCACAATGCAGTTTGCTGTCCTTCTTCCCAGCCATTTCTTCATGTTGGATCCTGGTTTGGTGGCCATGAAAGCCACGACCACGGTGATGGTTTTGGCCAACACACAAGAAATGGCCACTGAAAAGATGATGCCAAAGGCCGGTTGTTGGAGGAGGCAGCTCAGCTTTCCAGGTCGTCCAAGAAAGAGCAAAGAAGACAGGAAACAGAGGAGGAGAGAGATGAGGAGAGTGTAGGTGAGGTCCCGGTTGTTGGCTTTGACAATGGGGGTGTCTTTGTGCTTCATGAGAAGTCCTAAGACCCAGGCTGTGATCAGGGAAAAAGAGAGAGCAACCAAGGCTAAACCCCACCCTAAAGGCTCCTCATAAGACAAAAA